GTGTGTGTGTGTGTGTGTGTGTGTGTGTGTGTGTGTGTGTGTGTGTGCGCGCAGGCACAGGGCAGTAAGGTGGAGAAGGTTTATAATGAGACTGTGCCCATCAACTCAGCAACTGAGCTTCGTAAACGCCCACCAGCTCTTTACGCCTCCTCCAAGGTGAACGTCATGCAGAAGGCAAAGGTAAAGTGTGTGTGTGTGTGTGTGTGTTAGATGAGGACAGCTAGAAATGCTTTCCTCACTTTTTGCTGTGTCATGGTTTCCAGGAGTGGGAGTCAAAGAAGGGGACCTAGACTGAACATAAACGGATCGACAGATGGATTCATGTGAAGGGAGGATGTGTTAAAAGAAGAAACAGTTGCAGATAACTGGCATTGGGAAGAAGAGGAGAGGTAAAAGAGGGAAGAGGACAGACTCTGACAGTTTTCCCTCTTGACTATCAAGAAAAAGAGGAACCTTTGCAAGTAGAGGCAGCACGGTGCTGTCTCAACCACTGTAGATATGACAGACGTCACTGATGTACCAGTACAGTATTAATGTGGATCACTATGAACAGTATAGTTTGCGTGTGTGTTTGCATTTGCACAGGGCTGCAGAAAGCGAAAATGTGATTATTTCATAGAAATGCATCACAAAGGGAGAGTGTGGTTCATGAACACTGTGAGTTCAGAGTTACAGGCCACTGGTTTAATACCTTCACAGGATACCTGTCAATGTAAAATGAAAACCAAAAGTAAAGACATGATTATTACCTTAAATTATCTTTGTTAATGAGAGAAGTATCCCACATTTTGTGAGGTGTATTTAAACCATTAGGAAAGCATATCGAGTATGACACTGTTCCTGAAACAAACGAGTAAAATGTTTATTATTGCAATGTGAAACTATTGGTTTTTAACCGTTATATGTGTATTTTTTTTTGTTGCCTTTTGCACTTTATCTTGTTGTATTTTGTGATTACACAAATGTCTTGGAAATTAGCCTTAGCGCCCCACTTCGGAATCGTGAGGATAAAAGCTTGTGTCTGCTTTCCCTGATCATCGCAGCGACATGAACGAACACACATGTTGGAGTAAATGATTACTTTATCAAGACGTGTTGTCTCCTGGACTGTTTCTTTGAGTTTTGTTCCTTTGTTTCAGCCTGGTACCTCCTCAAAAGAGAAGTTCACTGTAACAAACCAGCAGCAGAATCACCACTCTGAACTATGAGCGCCATCTAGTGGTGAAATCAAATGTAAGCACTGGTTTGAACATTGTGAGGACGTCTAAACACCACCCTTTGGCTGTTAGTAGGCTGCTATTCAACTAACATCATTTACCAGTTTGTACTTACTGACAATGACACATTAGAAAACTTGCATAGGTCTATTTGTCTTATGTTCATAGAGGGAGTTCATCATCGTCATCCACAATCAGTGGCCCTGTAGTTTTTTTTAGTTGTGAGCAGTGCATTGTGGGAGAAAAGACGCTTAAAATGAAATGATTTTACTATCCAGTTTGACGGTTATGGAAATAAGTAAATGTAGTTATGTTGTTTGCATACAAAGACGTTACATGGGTATACTTATTTAAGAAGCGTTAATTTTGTTACACGCTTGATTGAATGGTGTAGCGCCATGCTGCTTTTAATAGCCTACAGGTGTGCGCCTCCCATTTCGTGTCTCGCACGCGGGCCAACCAGCAGTTTTAAACCGCCGAAATTGTTTGTTTTGAAAGTTAAAAAACGCAGAAAAATATGGTTTAAAGCAAGATTTTTCTATTGACAACAACTGTTTGAGTTTTGGAAGTGACCCAAGCTTTTTTCTCTCCATATTTGTTTTATTTTTGGTATTTCAAAGGGACTAATTAGAATAGTTTGAATCATGTGAGTCAGAAATAAACCTCAACAGCCATCACTGATTTCTTTGTTTGATTGAGTTTTGCTCTTAAAATAAATTAGTTGTATCAGATAAAGTCCTGCTGGAGGAAAATGCTTTAACAATGCGAATGAACGCAAGTATATATTTTTGTATACTTTGATACTTTACCAGTGTGAACACATTACATCCTCAAAACCTGGTCTGGCCTCCTGAAATATAAAAAGGGAGAACAGTTCTGCTGCATCGACCTGTATGGGTTAACACAATCATACTAGAAACAATAAAGGGCCAGTTCACCCAAGTAAAACAAAATAAATGTCTCACTTATCTATTGTGGTACATCTTATTTTACACAAATTTAAACCATGTCTCGAAATTCCATTTCAATTGAGGTGAATGGAATCTCATTTATGGTGCAAAACGTTAAATTAAAAATAATTAAAAAATCAGCAACATTTCTGTCTAGAATCATGATGTCTCGTTATTCTGAATAACTGACAACAGTTTTCCACAGCACATAGTTGATTACATCTCTAATATCGATGAACACTCGAAGCATTTTAAACATAACACCATCACAGGTGCAGATGGGTGGAAAAAACATAAATAAGACAAGACTATAACTTCTTTAAAAAGAGTTTATTTAGTGCATTTCTAGTTTGTCCACAGCAGGAACCAAAATATTAAGTTAATCTGTGCTCCCATTGGTCCAGGTGGTTCTGGCTCTGGTCCAACACCATTGGTCCATTAATGTTGTGGTGCAATACTATTGGTCCAGTAGTGTTCCAACACCCTTCCATTGGTTCACTAGTGTTCTGGTTTGACACTGTTGGCTCACTAGTGTTCACTTTCGGTCAGGAACACGTAAGACCAGAAAAAAAAAAACGGACCTTCGGCATGCTGCTACTGAGCAGAGGTCCACAAGCTTCCATGCAACAACAAACAAACGGCAAGGGACAACAACAACAAACGGAAAGATAAACAACAGCATCGCTTGTAAGAAGTAAGCATGGAAGCATATATAGTAAACCTTATTTTTACCTGCTAAAGCCCTCGGGAGGTTTGTCTGATATACTACAGATCTTAAAAAGGTAAAATCCCACCCCCTCCCTCCCTCCCCCAGATACATGCGTGCACACACACACACACACACACATCACTCCTACTGCAAGCACCGCGTGTACTTGACCACTCACAAAGGCAAACAAACACACACACACACTTGCTTGCCCACACACACACACGCACACATCACTCCTACTGCAAGCACGGCGTGTATTTGACCAAACGCAAACAAACACACACACACACACACACACGCACTTGCATGCAAACAAAGGATCAGTCCTCATAAGTGTACAAGGAATACGTTTGTCATTTTAAAAATATGACTTAACCCCATGAGCTCTGTGTAAACATAGCATATGGTAGAATAGATAAAGACTTCCTTCCTTCCTTTGTCCCTCACCTAACCTTCTTGCCACTTTCCTTTTCGCTGCAGTAACTTAGTTAATACTTGGACTCTTTGGTTCTCTGTAACAGTCTGTTTATCTGACTATGTGACTGACTGACTCTCTCTACCGTCTCTCGTCTTCCTCCCATCTCCGTCCCTCGTTCTCTCTGGTTATGATACAGCAGGAAGAGCAGTCAAGAGCAGAGATTCATAGGTCCCGTCCCGTCCCTCTGCAGACCAGAGCAGCAGAGCCGGACGGCTTGATTGTCCTTGATATATTTACATCACAGCCAGTCACAGTGGGCTCCGTTAAGTGGAAGAACACATTCCTGTCGTCCGTCATTTTAGTCCTCGCCTCCTCCTACCCCTCACCAGCCGGATGTGTGGGCATGTCGGCCTGAGATCTGTGTGTGTGTGTGTGTGTGTGTGTGTGTGTGTGTGTGTGTGTGTGT